CCCCAAAACCCCAAAACCCCAAAACCCCAAAACCCCAAATAACTTTATGTATATAGAAATAATAAAAATGAACTTGATAGATGCAAATTCTTTAGAAGAGACTCAAACTCTCTCAAGGAGGAAGTCGTTTCACTTGCCGCAGATCGGAAAGCTAAGTCAAAGGTAGGATGAGAGCTCTTGAGCCTAAAGTTTGGCTTTAGGTGGTGGGATAGAAGTTATTGGCATCTAGAAGTTCTGCAAATTAGGTTTTTTTGGGAGATACATCGCCTGAGAGTATTTTTAGAGCTCTTAAAGGATCCTGAAGGCCCTAGGTGAAGGAAAAGTTAGGTTTTGAAAGAATTTAAGTAGATTTAGGGGTGTTAAAGAATTGGAATTTTCTACTATAAAGGAAGGAATATGAAAGAATTTTAAGAGGGTTGTCAGTGGTTGATACGGAGTAAAGATAGTAGGGTTGATAAAGATTTTGGAGAGAAGTTTTTGGGATTTCGGAGATATCAAAAATTCAATTTTTGAGTTGAAAATTACAATTTTTATGATAAGTGTAAAGAGGAATAGACAAGATCTGAGTTTTTATTAGAATCAAATTAAAATAACTAATGTGGTTTATCAAACATTTTTATAAAAACTTTATTAGTACAAATTTTGGATAGTTCAACTTAATTTACTCTGCATCTCCAATCTTTTCCTCCGCTTATCCCTTTATTGAAAATGAGCTTAGCGTACAAGATCTTGGAACTTCATCAAAATATATTAAATCCACAATTTTTATCTCCCTAATGTCACTCTCGTTCAGACCCATTTCAATTTTTATACAATTCTAAGCCTAGTTTCTAACACTGAGCATGAATCCTAACGAGACAAAGCTTCTTTTACAATAGTATTTCCAGGAATCTTTTTATAAGTCTTCAGGCTTATAGTTGTTTATAGTAAGTCAACCAAGCGGAAAAATTCTGCAGGAGCTGTCGACTCCTGCAAACACAGAGATAAGTCCTTAGAAGAGGCTAAAGAGATACTCAAGTTACCTGAACAAGTGGATAGAAGGAATCTACAATCTGCCCAAGATTTAGGGGTTCCAAAATTTCTTGTTAATAAATGGCTTAATGTACAAAATCAGAAATCGAAATTCGTCCAGAAGTCATGCCAAATAGATAACGCTGCTGATGTCTCAGAATATTCTGTAAGTCCTGAAAGAAGCAGGGTTAATCTCTTTAGGTCACCAGTAAGACTAGCAAGAATACTACGGCTCTTGATAATTACAGGAAAGAGTCTTGTTTTAACACGAGCGAGAAAAGTATTAATTGCCCAAATCTTTTGTCTCCATCGAGGCAAGCTCAGAAATCATTTTATTTCTTGAAGAAGGAAGCTGAAGGTATCCCAAACCTTTAACTATATAGATGCAAAACATCTCACGTTGAACTCATCCTCCTCAGACAGTGGAGACACTAGGGAAAAAATTGAAAATATTTATGTACGAATTTGCTCCTAATTATAGACGAATGTAATCACTCCTTCAGGGAAGGAAAAGAAAGAGGCAGATGAGCAGGTAAAAATTACCGCTGAGAAGCAAGAAACTCTTGATGTTCTACCTCCTGAGAAAACTCCCATGAAAATTCATAAAAAGATCTTTCAGCTTGAATTTTCAAGCGGAAGTCAGCCTCATCAGAAATTTTCACCACGAAATGCCAATCAGATTCATGAGAAGCCTAAAAAGTTGACTTATGGAATACTAAAGGAAAAGAAGAAGGTTCGGTCTTTGCCTTTAGATGAACTTGTTGGGACTTCCAAGCCGATTCTTCCCATTTCAAAGAGCAAGTTCAAGCCCAATGCTAAGGACAGGTGTAAGAATGACAGTCTGTTACCCAGTGGGTCTTTTAAAGCTTCTGCGCTTTTTGGAGAAGAGATTAATGCTACCAAGACGCCTAAAATCAATCAGAGATATCTCAATTATCCTTTGCTTAAGAGGTAAGTTTGGGCAGTACTTTTTACCCTAAAATACTTGAAGAGGCTCATTCTTTGTTTTGCCAGTGCTTTTATGTCAGAGGAGTGCAGGCTCTGCTCAATGGACCTCTAAAAGGATAGTATTAAACTTTCATTTGTTATTCGTAAAATTTGAATATAATACTGTGTTTTATGTTCAAACTGATATTTTCACTAAATTACGAAGTTTATTAATGCAGAATGTTTTACGTCTTTCTTTATAAGAGAAGAAATCTGGTTGATAGGTAGTCATTAGAGGCAGCAGTTGGGTACTTCGTTTCAAAAGAATGCTGGAATAGTCTTATATTATCTTAAAAAGTTGATTTTTAGCACAAACCTGTTCATGTATAAAATTTATTTAGCCCAGCAAATTATCAGTCAATAAAGAGAAAGGCTCAGTTAGAACTAAAGCCGAAGAGTAAGCTCATAGATAAATCTGTAGAAAATAAGATATTCAGTCCAGTGATTACCTGTATGAAGAAGAGAAACTTGCTTGTTCCAATTAAGCTAAAGTATCAAGCCAAGGAGTCTGAGGAGAAGAGCAACTGTGCAAATTTTAAAGTTGCTTTCTTAACTCCTTTCGATGAGAAGAATAACAAAAATCTCAAAGATACATTTACTAAGAAGAGTAGAAGAAGGGACCTTAGTTCTTACCGTCCAGACCCTTTCAAAGGCAAGCTGTTGCCAGCCCAAATGCCTCAGCAGTCCCACAGGAAGAACTTGATCAATAAGGCTCATGGAAGTGATCAGTAAGTATTAAAGAAACGGCTTGGGAAAATGTGAAACTGTCCTAAGCCTTAAAACTTCGTGAAAATCTGATGTCTACATTCAAAGCTGATTCTCTTATCTTCAAATTTTTAGAAGTTTGTCTTAAATAAGTATTTTTATGTCAAATTTTCAATATCTTCTTCCAAAATCCACCCAACTAAGCCTCTCAGACATAACCAATCTTATAGAGGAATGAAAACAGTGTCATCTCCAAAGGTATTCAACCCAACTTGGAAGAACCAATTTCATCCAAGTTATAAACTAAAAAAAACCTCTCACCACACCCCAAAGAAGAAGCTAAATCTAGCCCATTCAGATAAATTCTCCTCTAGAGCCTTACCTAGTGAAGCTCTTCTTCTCAGGCACTATTTTTCCGAAATCTAGCTCTTCTTCTACCCTAATCTCCCTCAATTCTCCCTAAAAATTCATAAAATTCCAACTAAATTTTTTCAAAATTTTTAATTTTCAGCTCCTCAGTCTCCACTTGGGGTTTTGGGGTTTTGGGGTTTTGGGG